ATTGACTAATAGCGAATTTGTCAATGCCAATGGTGTTCAAGTGGTGCTCCAGTTGTTTTGGGATTGCACCCAAGGAGCCTATGACTATTGGTACTACCCTTGCTTGCTTTTGCCACAGTCTTTCTATTTCTATTTGTAGGTCTTTGTATTTTGTTATCTTCTCCAGTTCTTTCTCTTCTATTCTGCTATCTCCAGGCACTGCCACGTCCACTATCCAGACTTTTTTGTCTTTCTTATCGACAATTGTTAAGTGTTGGGTGTTATGTTGCAGGTGCTTGTCTGTTTGAATTCTGAAGTCCCAGAGCAGTTTAATTTTATCATTTTCTATGACTTTCTCTATTTTATGATCCCACCAGTTTTGCTTACAGGCAAATGATATTTTTTGCAGATCTTCCAATGCACCATTGTTGCTACTTTGTCATGCCGCTGCTTCTAATCAGTTTGTGCAATTTTCTTGCAACAGCTTACCAAGTGGTCCACTGTTGTTTCTTCTTCTTCTTCTTCTTCTTCTTCTTCTTCTTCTTCTTCTTCTTCTTCTTCTTCTTCTTCTTCTTCTTCTTCTTCTTCTTCTTCTTCTTCTTCTTCTTCTTCTTCTTCTTCTTCTTCTTCTTCTTCTTCTTATTCTTCTTCTTCTTCTTCTTCTTCTTCTTCTTCTTCTTCTTCTTCTTCTTCTTCTTCTTCTTCTTCTTCTTCTTCTTCTTATCACAGCTTATTTAAACTGAAATATCCCCATGTCACATGTATGTGTGTGATGTCAGCTTGGCAAATTTGCCCCCCAAAAGGTTATGTGGCCCTTGACTATCAAATGGTAATCATCTTTACAGTAAGCCATGGTTTGGACAGTGTCTATTCTGCTGTTCATAAAAGGTGTCTATGACTTTCTCAAGAAAGACAAAAATGTTGTGCAAGGTGGTTAATTGCCCCACTGATTTTTGTATGATGTTAAAATGTAAGGTATATTAACATTCCTTTTATTTTGCAAAGCACTATTAGATTATGAAAGAGTTTTCCTTAAAATGAATTATTCCTCCTGGTGTGAAATTAAGTTTCAAAAAAATTATTAATGGATAATGAAAAGCCATATTATTCAAAAAGCTTTCAATAAGGCTGCGTTGGAAAAAAAGCAATTATATGTTCACCACATTTGTTATAACTTTTTCTAATGAGACTCATTAGTGAGAATCATAATTGTTATATTATGTTATGGAGTCTGTAGTTTTGTCACAGTTTATACTAAATACCTTTATTAATTAAATTGGACTATGTAATATTGATTCTGTTCACACATAATACTATGTGAACAGTAAACCAAGATTTGCAATAGTGGCAAATAGCGGCGAAAGCAAGATTTTTCAAAAACTATGATTTCTTAACCTATAATGATCTAGCTTGCACACAGAATATCACTCATAATAAGTGGGTTAGAAAATCATATTGTGAAAGGTAACAAACCAAGTTATAGCTAAGCCTTATATATGAATCCACCATAGTATTTATTACCTTTAAGTATAGCTTTATTCTTCCAATTTAGTTTATCAAAAGTTTATTTACAATAATATGTAGTTAGATTATTTTATGTCCTATATTATTATGTATAAGTAGAACTATTGTTAAATATTACTGATAATATGAGAGTGCGAATATTATTGTAGTATTATAAAAGTGTGCTGTAGTATTATAAAAGTGTGCTGTTAAATTGGAATAAGATATGCAGATGATACCACGCTAATGGCAGAAAGTGAAGAGGAACTAAAGAGCCTCTTGATGCGGGTGAAGAAGGAGAGTGCAAAAGTTGGCTTGAAACTCAACATTAAGAAAACCAAAATCATGGCATACGGCCCTCTCAATTCCTGGCAAATAGATGGGGAAGAAATGGAGGTAGTGACAGATTTTATTTTTCTGGGCTCCAAGATCACCTCAGATGGGGACTGCAGCCAAGAAATTAAAGACGCTTGCTCCTGGGGAGGAAAGCTATGGCAAATCTAGACAGCATACTAAAAAGCAGAGACATCACCCTGCCAACAAAAGTGCGTATAGTCCAGGCCATGGTTTTCCCAGTTGCAATGTATGGCTGTGAAAGTTGGACCATAAAAAAGGCGAAGCGCCAAAGAATTGAGGCCTTTGAACTATGGTGCTGGAGAAAACTCCTGCGAGTCCCTTGGACTGCAAGGCATTCAAACCGGTCAGTCCTAGAAGAGATCAACCCCGACTGCTCTTTAGAAGGCCAGATCCTGAAGTTGAAACTCAAATACTTTGGCCAACTAATGAGAAGGAAGGACTCACTGGAGAAGGGCCTAATGCTGGGAAAGATTGAGGGCAATAGAAGAAGGGGACGACAGAGAATGAGATGGCTGGATGGAGTCACTGAAGCAGTAGGTGTGAACTTAAATGGACTCCAGAAGATGGTAGAGGACAGGAAGATCTGGAGAACATTGTCCATGGGGTCGCGATGGGTCGGACACGACTTCACAATTAACAACAACAACAATTATAAAAATAAGAACTGTAAATATTTTTCTCAATAATGGAGTAATTATTCTTAAATCTGTAATTCATTTGTCTGCTTTAGCTCTAGTCGCCTTTTTCAGTGTGGCTAACCGCCTAGAGATAATTATTATGATTCATGACATTTATTTCTGGACTGCTTGTATTTTTGTTCTTAGATACTTCCATGTAATTCCTGAAACTTTAATTCTGGGATTTGGGGGAGCAGCAAGGTTACACCACTGATGCAGCATCAGATGACTGGAAACATAACATTTTGTATATTTCTGTCTTCTGAGGAACAAGAGCATGGCTGGAGGTCTGTGCTGTAGGCAGGCCAAAGCAATTTTAGAGGAAGCTTACACAATAAGCAATTAACCGGGAAATGACTTTTCTGGCAGAAAAAAAGGCAGATAAGGCAAGGCACTGCTTCTCAACCTGGGCAACTTGAATATGTGTTGTCTTCAACTTCAACTCAAGAAGGCAACAAGAGCTAAAGCAGACAAATGCTGGCTGGGGAATTCTGGGAACTGAAGTCCACACATCTTTAAGTTGCCGAGACTGAGATACACTGAGGCAAGCTAAGCTACGCTAAGTGGGGCAACTTATCAAATTTTGAATAAGGATTCATTGAGAAACCAAAGGCAGATTATAAGGGTGGAGAAAAAGTAGGTCCTTAAAAATGCAGTACAAAATGGCATGCCAGATGCAGCCTTTTTATGCCAAAACCTGACAGAGGAACAATTCTGTGGAATATTTCAAAAGTATTCAGAACTTTTCATTTCTCACAGGACTTTTTTCCCAGATAGTTCAACAATTCTTAAAAATGGCCCATTAAAAAAAAGAATGGCAAAAACTTGCAGCTGGGAAAACAAAGGGATTGCTGGTAGAGTTGAATAACATGGGGAACAAGTCTATGTTTTCTTTATGCAATATATATACTCCAAAGATTTTGGTGTATATTATGCCCTTTACCACATTTATACTGTAAATAGAAGTTAAGATGTGCAGAAATTATGAAAGTAGAAACCCAGTTGTGGGGTTTTTTTTTTAACTGACATGATATATGATTAAGATAGCCTGCAACTAGCTTCTTCACTTTTGCACAAACATGCATTCTGAACCCAAATCCCAAGGATTTTAGCAGAGGAAGTAAATATGGCTTTAATATTAAAGAAATTGATAACCCCTTAGTATATACATTTCTTGATACATAGGTCAACATACTTGTGTCATGTCAGTTGTGAAAAGATATCTGGAGCACCTCATAGCATCATAGTTCATAACAGATCTCTCTTCTTTTAAGACATGAAGTTTCATAGAACTCAACATAAGGAACCAGAGTGCCAGTATGACTTAGCTTTGAACATTCAGTCTGGAATCCTTATATTTGAATAAAGAGAGTTAAAATGTAAGTTTTATAAACAGCTTTATCGTATGATAAAGAAGGATTAGAGGTGATTAATTTGTTTATGGCCTTATTAATTAGTATATGAAACAAGCAGATATAAAGCAAAGCAAAGCAGAAATAGATTAAACATCCGTATTAAAACCAAAGAGAATTTCCCATAGATATACTTCTCTAAAAAGGGTATAATAAAAGTAAAAATGAGAAAAAGTTTCAGAACATATTAAGATGACTGTAACATGAAACACCATGAATGGGCACATGGAATGGTAACATGACAATAGATTTCAGGAACAATAGAAAACATGCAAAATGAAGGAGAGTTCCTCTGACCTGTGACCTCTGACCTGATCATTACTTCCTGTTTTTCCAATTAAATAAAAATTGAAGTAAGAAAGACAGCATGTGAAGTTTCTCAGATTTCATGTAAGTCTAATGTGGTCATCAAAAGTTCTAAGTTTTATTCTACAGTAAATAGTTTACCAAGTTTCGGTTTCAGTAGATTTACTCCAAATTGGTTAATTTTATTTGGTTAATTTCTATTTTGACATTTTTTTTAAGAAAAAAGAATCTGTATTTCTCAAGTAAATGCATTATATTTCTAAGCAATTCTAATACAAAATGGCTTTATTATTATATCCTTGAAAATTTTATATTTTGTCAGTCCATATGGAAATTAGCCTCACAATTAACAAAAGTTATTTCATTTTGACATTACAAGGCTAGTGAAACTAACTATCAGCAACAGTGCAAAATGTGCCTAAGGTAATTGGCCCATTCTGGAACTGTTGGTCTTTGCATTCAACACTATTTGGGTAAAGCTATGCTTATTCAATGGAAAAAAAATATATTTAAATTACTGTAGTGCGTTTTTAGCTGCCTAGCATATAAAATAATTGCAAATCATGCAGCCATTGATGTATTTCTATGGGTTTTTGCTTAGCCTGTACCAGAGCTATATTTTTCATGCAAATTTTGTAGCTGGACATGCTTGTGAGGGGAATCTAGCTTTCAAATGCTAGGCAGGGACTAGGGGAAATTGTCAAAGGTCAAGCAGGGCTCAGAAAGATGAGGAAGGACTACCGACCAGCCATCTGTTTCTCCTTACTCCTTCTCTTTTTCTCCAGGCGTTTGAGCCTCTTCTCTTCTCGTCTCTTGGCTTCTTCTTCTTCCTGATGCTGACGACATTTATGGAAATTCTCCACCACGACCCCCACAAACATGTTGAGCACAAAGAAGGCAACAATCAGCAGGAAGGAGATAAAGTAGAGGAGCATCCAAGGGTTATAGTTCATGACTGGCTATAAAATAAAGGGAGAAGTCATTACCCTCTATCAGGTTTAGAATTTAACAATGTCCATGATGAATTTAGGAACTCCAAATATTTGTATTTCACATAATTTTTTAAAAAGAGTAATCTCCAAAACAAGCATGCCTCTTTCTTGGGCTTCTGGCAATGTCATACCAAAACACCTACCTGCTGATCTACTCCTACAGCATCCAATCCATCGTACATGATGTCCACCCACCCGTCTTTAGACGCCAGAACAAACAAAGACATTAAAGCCTAGAAAAACAAAAGGAGGAAAAACAATATAATACATATCGTATTCTACCTGCCTCATGACTCGTGTTTGAATTTGTACTTTTTTGTTATTCAATCTAGTTGATAATAATAAGCCAAAGCTTCTTACCAGGAAAAAAGGTATCAAGTATTACTCTCACAAGGTGAGAGTTATTCCAACAAAGAGGAACAGCCTTAACTCTAACCTTCCTCCATTTTTATTTAGCCCTTTGTGCTCAAATATGATTTCCCAGGATAATAGTAAATTTATTTACGGCCACCCAGTCACTCTCAGTGACTCTGGGCAGCTTACAAAGAATAAAAACCCAATATAAAAAAAATAAAAAACAATAACTTCCCATCCTCCTAGTGACAACACACAATCAAACAAGCCACTTGATGGGTTGCATTCCACTCTGGGTTCCCCAGGCCTGTCGGCAAAACCAGTACCTCAGGGCCTTATGGAAGTGTATCAGAGTGAGGGGCCAGTCTAATCTCTGTGGGGATGATATTCCAAAGGGAAGGAGCTACCATGGAGAACACCCTTCTTCTGGATCCTGCCAGGTGTATCTCCTTAGGAGACGGGACCTGCAACATTCCCTGCCTTCCCACTCTAATGGGTTGGGTGGATGTAACCAGGCTAAATGATCCTGGTTAGTTAAACGGGCCCCAAGCCATGAAGGGCTTTAAAGGTGACAACCAACTTCTTAAATTGTACCTGAAGGAAATCAGCAGCCAATCCAGCCCCCTGAGTCTGCACAAAACCATGTGGGTCACTGCATTTTGAACCAACTGGGGCTTCTGAATGCTTTTCAAGAGCAGCCCCATGTAGAGCACATTGCAATAGTCAAGACATGCCTGAGAGAGTAGATGTGCAGGGTTCATGGTTTCAGTCTCCTGAGACAAACTTTTCTTCATGCTAGATATGAGTTTGATTACACTATTGTATAATAATAATAGTAGTAAAGTTGGAAGGGACCTTGGAGGTCATCTAGTCCAACCCCCTCTCGGGCAGGAAACCCTACACCATTTCGGACAAATGGCTGTCCAGTATCTTCTTAAAAGCTTCCAGTGTTGGAGCATTTACTGCTTCTGGAGGCAAGCTGTTCCACTGATTAATTGTTCTCACTGTCAGGAAGTTTCTCCTTAGTTCTAGGTTGCTTCTCTCCTTGATTAGTTTCCACCCGTTGCTTCTTGTCCTGCCTTCAGGTACTTTGGAAAATAGCTTGATTCCCTCTTCTTTATGGCAGTCCTTGAGATATTGGAATATGCTATCATGTCCCCCCTTGTCCTTCTCTTCGTTAAACTAGACCTACCCAATTCTAGCAACCGTTCCTTATATGTTTTAGCCTCCAGTCCCCTAATCATCTTTGGTGCTCTTCTCTGTACTCTTTCTAGAGTCTCAACATCTTTTTGACATCGTGGTGACCAAAACTGGATGCAGTATTCCAAGTGTGGCCTTACCAAGGCATTGAAGAGTGGTATTAATACTTCACGTGATCGTGATTCTATCCCTCTGTTAATGCAGCCTAGCACTGTGTTGGCCTTTTTGGCAGCTGCAGCACACTGCTGGCTCATATTTAAGTGATTGTCTACTAGGACTCCGAGGTCCCTCTCACAGTTACTACTATTGAGCATGGTACCACCTATGCTGTACTTGTGCATTTGGTTTTTCTTGCCTAAATTTAGAACCTTGCTTTTTTCACCATTGAATTTCATTTTGTTAGTTAGTGCCCAGTGTTCGAGTCTGTCCAGATCCTTCTGTATCTTAAGCCTGTCTTCTGGAGTGTTGGCTATTCCTGCCAGTCATTAAATGTCCAAAGAAAGAGTGTATGCTGGTCTTAATTGTAATAGGTCTGTATACTAATTGAGGATCTTTAAATGTAGACACTATGACTAGGAAGTGCTGTAGATGATTTGCTATGGTGGCTGCAATATATACAAAGCTATTTCACATCTGCTTTGAATCAAAGCAAATAAGGGAGCACTGCGGCAGATTACTGTTCCATCAGTACCTGGCCAAGATTATCAAAATTATACTTGTGCCGGATCCATTTATAGCTGGCTTCTGCACAGTCTGACTTGTTGGTAATGTTCCTTGTGTCTTCTCCTTGGCAGACAAAAAACTTCCCCTTGAACAGCTGTGAAAAATGAGAGTATACTCAGTCACTGAGGTTTTTTTCTGTAGGCTTCCACAATGTACCATTTGCAAATGTCTGATTTTAAGCTCTTCCTACAAAGAGGCCCATCTGCATCTCACTTGAGCTTTTGGCACTAGCCCCAAAGCTTTTAGCCATCCAATTTTATGGAAGAAATATTGTAGGATTGCTGTTTTTAAGCTGCTGCTTTTCTTGATTTATACACATTTAGCTGTATTATTATGGCACTATAGATTTTATACTTTGCTGGTTTTCAAAAACATAGTAAAGATTTAGTGTGAGCCCATCCTATTTCATTAAAAGGTAGCATTAAAATACTTACAATAAATGAAAGAAGGAAATTTGTCAATAAAGAGGTCATGGCTGAACCTTTCTTAGCTTGGAATCCCCTTAAAAATGATAGAATTTTAACTCTTCTAAAGTCTGCATGGCTATACAAGCTGTACAATGTTCTTGTAAGGGATGTGTGTGTGTGTTTTCAGACTGAAAGATGACAAATGTATTTGAAAATCAGGCATTATCTGAACACTCCAATCAATGCAAATTTTGGTATTCTGTATGCAGTGTTTCTCAACCTTGACAATTTTAAGGCATGTGGACTTCAACTCCCAGAATTCCACAGCCAGCAATGCTGGCTGTGGAATTCTGGGAGTTGAAGTCCACATGCCTTAAAATTGTCAAGGTTGAGAAACACTGCTTAAAGTTTTTCAAGTATATTATCCGTTTGCCAATAGATCTTTGGCATTCTGTTAAAAAATCATCTGAGTGAATTGGCAATGCTAGGATACATGTACCTTCATCTTACTTATTGCAAGTATCTTGCCTAGGAATTACCCTCTGTGCTAATTTATGTTCCAAGTGAATTTTGCAGTTCAGCCTTAATGGATACTTTAACACAAATAAGCATAAAGACAATCCATAGTTGACTAGAGGCAGTGGATAAGACTTGGACACCCCTCCTCCTTTTTAATGATTACATTTTTCCAGAAATTAACTACTCTGGGAGCTGCCAAGCAGGACATGAGGGCTCTACCAGTCTCCTGCCCTTACGTCTTAGCAATTGGTATTGTCTTAAAAACTGGTGCTAACATATACCTTTCATGATCAGTAGCAGCTAAAAAGCTTATTATCTCTTCTTTGGTCTGTAAGAATGGTAGAAACTGTATGTCAATAACCTTATTAGTCTAGCTGTGAAGACCACCAGGGAAGTAATAAGAGACTAGGTTTAGAATAGATGGTGGTATATACATCCTTGAGGGAGAAGCATTTATCTATCACCTTGAAAGAGGCAATGGTGTGCCTCCTTCTTAAGAAACTATCCCTTGACCCAGCTAATTTATACAACTATTCCCTGGCTCCAACTTAATATTTTTAGATAGTACACTATACGGAAGATTTTGAAAGGTGGACAGCATAAAGCTATAGATTATTTAGAACTTTGTTAAAATCAGGATTCATGCCTGACTCTGGGATGGAAATCAGAGTGTTCACCCTGTTGGATAATCTTCAGCAGGACTGGAATGGGGAATATGGCTAGACCTTTTCTGAATCTTTTGGTAGCATTCATTGCCATCAGATATGCTATCCTTCTGGACCAACTGAGAGGCTGGGAGTCGGAGACACTGGGTTGAAGTGGTCCCCCTTTTTCTTGAGTTTTAGTTTTAGTTAGTGATGCTAGGGGGACTAGCTACTCCACTGTGGGTTCCCAGAGGGCTCAGCCCATTCTCTCCTACTGTTTAGAAACTGCTAGAAAAGGTCATAATTTAGACCAAAGGTCTCCAACTTTTCCGGGCTTGCGGCCCGGAGGAAAGGACAGCAGCTTCCAAATTAGTGCATGTGCACACACAAATGGACCCATGTACACCGGTGCAGCACTAGCGGCCCCATTCACGCATGAGCAAGCAGGCCGTGCACACTCACCCAGCATTAGCAATCTTATTTATGCATGCGCAAACAGGGCTGCAGGCACTACCGCAAGTGGGGGGGGAGTGTGCATGCACACCAGCCAGCCACTTCCATGACCCACCAGCCAAGAGGCCATGGCCCGGTAGTGGGCCACGGCCCATAGGGGACCACTGATTTAGACCATCCCCACCCTGTTGGACTTCCAACAAGATGCAAAGATAGGCCTCTTCAGGAAATCATTAGGGATGATGGAGATTTATCTATCAACCTTAGATGGCACAGTTAGAGAAAGTTTTTATAATGTTATTAATCCTGTTTGTTGCTTAATGTAAGCTGCTCAGAAATAATGGGAACTGAGTGGCATAGAAACTATAGTAAATGAATATAACAGATAAATGATATATTCAAGATCATTCCACCCAACTTTTTAGGGGGACTTCATTTCAACAATTGTCAGAAAATTCTGGAATTTACTTTTTTTTTAAGTGAACATATTTACATTTTGCCTCTCCTTAGATTTATGGTGTATTACTTAATTAAAGCCTTAAGACACTACAGCCACAATGTATGTCCTTTAAAAGATATAGACTTAATTCACCAAGAACTGCGAGGAGATCAAAGTAGATATTAAATTCATGAGTTCAGCTATTAAAACCTGTTCAGACAAATGGAAGGTAAGATTCTTTTTTTCTCCCAAAATTGCAGCAAGGGGAAGAACTGATGCACCATTTTCAAAAGGAGAGACTAAAACCTCAACCATATTATTGATGAAGCTGTGGCTTGCATAGCTGTTGTTCTGACTTCTACCAGAACAGAAGCTAAGCAAGGCAAGCTAGCTGAACCACAGCTATGTATAAAGAGAGTGGCTTCCTTTTTTAAATTGGAGACTGATCCTATTTTTGATAAACATGATGTACTAGCTGCTAGGTTAAACAAGATACAAGAGTGCACATCTGAAAAAGTGACACAGAAGTGAGAGTTTTGAAAGGTGCTGCTTCTCCTACTTGAGCAGAGACATCATACAGATTAGCAGATAAATCACTGACATCACTTTGTGTTGAATCAAACCAAACAACCCTTAAGTCTTGACTTCAACAATGTCAGATGTGATTATTAACTAGGAGAAAACTATAAAAATGCTAGAGGATTAATTTTGTCACATACTCAGTGGCAAACATAAAGTGGCAGAGCATGACAGCTATTATGATAGATGGAACAGGGTGGCCTGTGTCAGCCTAAACTGAGATGCCTTCACTTTTTATTGAGTGACAGCAGGTCCTAGAATGGTCATGCCTTGTTTCACTGTGGCAAAGCAATATTCCCACCAGCTTTCAAAATATTACCTCTTTATCTGAACTCAAGAATAAATGTCAAACCTGTGAGCAATCCAAATAATAGGGATCAGCACACACTGACAGATCTCACATAAGGTGGTATTTTATTTTTTTACCTAGGAGAACTAACGGGGTGATAGCAGCATAGAAAGCACCAACAGTGGGTGAGTTCCCTTAGCTTAATCATAGTTAGGCAGTAATTCTACTTTCTTGACTAAACTTTTTCAAACCAAACCAAACTAACCAGATTCTTATCACAGTATTTATGACACTAATTTGCTGTTGTTTAGTCTACAGCAATGGAAGCTACTACGGAACCCAGGAATCAGCATATTTGAGTTCCTCAAAGAGTTCCAAGCAAGAAATGGAATGTCCAATAGACAATTCTTGTGTTTGGGAACTGGGACTAATTGATTGACTATATGCTATCAAGACTGTGTCAACTTTTCAAGATCACATTAGTAGAACTTCTCCAGAATAATCTGTCCCCATCCTGACTTTTCGGGTTTCCTAATGGTACACCCCATTGCCACTATAATAGAGTTCCTCCTCCTTGCTGATGATCATTCTTCATCATCACCTTTCCCAGCATTGTGAAATTCTCAAGGGATTTGAGTTTTTACACAATGTGTCCAAAATATAATAATTTGAACCTGATCATTGCCCCTTGTTTGAGAATGCTAGATTGACTTGTTCAACCATTTCTTTGTTATCTCCAAAGTTTCCTCCAACATCAGCATTCAAAAACAATAATATTCTTTCTATCTTGCTTTTTCAAAGTCCAATTTTTGCTTTCATAGTATAACACCAAAAAAATCACTAGAAGACTTAAAGGACCAGATTAGGGACCAGTCCTCCTGTAGAAAATCTACAGTATGAGATCACTAATGGTTGACACCAATTTGAAGGCACTTAACCAAATCCCCATGTTATTATCAATTTTAAGGTTGGTTGTTGTACGTTGTCATTGGTTTGATCTTGTGATTGAAATGTTCAATGCCAGCACATGTCAATCTGCTAATGCCTAAAATGTCAATGTGTAGAACATTTTGTCTTTTACTATGCTGAGTTATTCCATGTTCATGCTTCTTATATTCTGTATTTCCACTGTAATTCTGTCTTTGCAGGTTGTATTTTTTCCCCTTGCATTACACCAGCAATTAAATGTCCAGAAGGCTTTAATCTGGCTGTGTCATAAACACCATTAGTGCTTCAAAGGATCCTCAGGTCTTCCTAAGTAACATGTTGAGTGTCATCTGACTCGAGGGGCGTATCATCTGGCACTATATCGTCAATCATTTTGTATGATCTATCTATGTTGTTTTCTTGGTAAAACAAAGGACTGTTTTACCTTTTCCTGCACTGTTTGAAACAATACCTTTGCCACTGTTGTTAAAGGGATCATTCAACGTCTTCTCATATTGCTGCTTTCCTACATAGGCAAGCTTTAACTGGGAGGGGGGGTCTTCAGACTTGGCCCTTTTATGACCTGTGGACTTCAACTCCCAGAATTCCTCAGCCAGCATGCCTGGCTGAGGAATTCTGGAAGTTGAAGTCCACAAGTCATAAAAGAGCCAAGTCTGAAGACCCCTGCTTTAATTGGTCAGCTGGTGTGACCTTGGTATCTTGAGTGATGCTATGGAGAGTACATACATGAAAGATAGCTGGGTGACCTTAAGCCAATCACTCTGTCTGAGCTCTATTCACCTCACACGGTTGTTGTTGTGTGGAAAATAAGAGGTGGAAGGTAGGTTGGATATGTTTGCCACCTTGAGTTATTTATAAAAATAATAAAGGTGGAATACAAAAAAATCAAACACCCTTGGTGTATAGGCCCTGCAGTCTTTACTCAACCCTCTCAGAAGCTGCCATCCCCACCATGAGGCATCATAGCAGGCTTTGGAAGGAAGAAATGGCACTAAATATGGATAAATATAAGGCTTACAAATGCTGAATGTGAGCTCTGGTTTAGTTGAAAGGATGAAACAGATATAACAAATTATGTATCAATACATTTCTCCATAAATAATATATGAAGAGAACAGATTGGCAACATTATTAAATTACTATGACTCTTGCGCTCACTTAAAAAACAAACCACTGGCATTATAAAAAATGTGGAATGAGTTTAAATTTTAGTTGCTTTCATTCCAAGTTTTGATTGGCTTACAAAGAATGCACATTCATATTATAATATTTAATAATGCTATCGTGGTTTTTTTCTATAGAGATCATGTACTTATCTAAAAGGAGGAGAGCCCTGAACGTAACTTTTAAAAAAGTAGATAGAAGAAAAAATGAAATTCCTGCACAATATCTTTCTTCATGCTGTTAATCTACTACATCAAATCTAGCTGAAACCAGTGAGGATTCCCATGCCCTCTAGAATTGTGCACGTGTGTATGTATGCATGTATGAATGTATATATGTATGTAAATAGAAGAAATTATTGAAGAAGAATGGAAGGGAAGGGAAGGGAAGGGAAGGGAAGAAATTGGCATCAATGAGAATCATTGCATGATCATGCAGGATAACAAAAGTCACTCTCACCACAGTCAGGCACATGGCCAAAATCTTACAATTTGGCAAAATTTTTTAAGATTTTGATAATCTCAACTCCAAGAATTTAAACTCATGAGCATGCTGAAATCTTTCACACACTTTTCTGAAATCTTTCAAGAATTCATGAGAGGACATAGAAACCTCCTGAGATTTGGTGATCTCTTGAAATGCTGCCCATTCTAAATGTGGTTTAATTTAGGGGTTGTACAGAGTTCAAATATGAATGTCACAAACACCACTCTGCTTTCCCTGCATTATATGTCCACCGTTGTGATCCAGGGTTTTATACTGATCTCTAAAAAAGGATTCTGTATGAAGCAGCACTAGAACACTGAAGTAGGGACTTCTTTTCTTTTTTAGTTGCGTCAGCACTTGTAGAATCTGCCTCTCATGAGAGACTCAATATTAGAACAGATTGGTGTGTATGAAATTCTCAAACCCTCTGCTCTGAATGAATAGAGTAAAGTTCTCAGGGAACTCTATCCAAAACCTACCTGGACTCCCAAGATGCCAAAAATGATGAAAAAAGCACAGCAAATCACAACAATGTTTCCAATGGGTTTCAGGGAGGACATCAGGGTTTCCACAACCAGCTTCAGTCCTTGCGCTCGACTGATGACCCTGAAAGGCAAAAGTGGCTTATTAATCATGAGACTAGCAAACCACTTGGAAGAGAACCTTCCAACTGTTCACAAAGGACTAATTGATACATAGAAGAGGAAACATGGAACTGCCAAACTTCCAATGAGAGAACTCCATTGTCTGACACCTATTCTGTTCAACAGACTTCAGTGAGACCCAAGAGAAGAAACCTCTCTATATGTTAGGCAATACATTTATCCAACAATGACAACCACAACAGCAGGCTAAATGTGACGCATGGCGTTATCACTTTACAATGGCTTAGGAAGGATGTGATTCTTCTTAATGTCTGTATTTTTTTTTTAACTTTTCCTCCATGTCACAAAAAAATTGTTTTATTGAATTACAATAATTCCTGTAGGAATCTGTACCAAAAAGTGTCTTGCTGGCTGGGGATTCTAGGAGTTGAGGTCCGTACATCTTAAGGTGGTCAAGTTTGAAAAATACTTATATAAAAGTATTTGCTATCATAAATGGAATGAGTATTATAGAACACCTGACTTTTCAGGTTGCAGCCTTGAGACATTTTTTTAAAGAAAAGCAGCTCATGTAATGTAGCAGTTGAGATGTTGGACTAGAGAAACAAGATCTTCAGCTATGAAAACACACAGCTTTACACTGGTCAGTTGCCAGCAATCAGCTGAAGCTACACCACAGGGCTGTTGTGTGTTAAAATTGGAGGAACGACTGGAGGAAAGGTAGGATATAAGTCTGTCTGTCTATCTGATCTCTTAGCTCCACTTTGAAGAGCAGATAGGACAGTGGCAAAACACCCAAAGTAACTGGATTGCAGAGTAATATAATAACTTTGCTGCTGTAGACATTTCTGAACAGTTGAATTTACAGATTTTGCCAGATGCTGACCTAAAAAAAGACATTTTGCTCACAGGCATTTTAAAACAATAGAATCTAGAGATTGTTAAGAGCAGCACATGCAACTTATATTCTTTTCCCTTAAGGCTACTGCCAACAAAAAATGTCAAACTATGAGGAAAATTCTATATCAAAGGATAAAAATTGCAGGCTAGCCTAATATATTTCACACAGTGGAGAACCTCCTTTAGATTTATTTTATTTTTGATGTGTCTCTGTAATGGGATGTGGGACTAACCTTGGGAGACAGAAGGAAGAGCCATAGCCTAGACAATGATCTGGTAAGAGAAATCTGAGTCCAAAGAAGGGAGGGGGCTGGAAAAAGTGAATCAGAAGGGACCCTCCCTAGTTCCCCAGAAAGTAAAGGCAGGGGAGGTGGGGGAAGCACTTTCAGACTTGCAAGATTCTATTACTACAACCTTATTTAAAAAAGGTAGCATTAGTACTGATTGATTTGGGTTTCCAGTCTGGCTGACCTTGAAGTTCTGATAGCCTACTTCAGCTCAGTTTCTTATAACATGGACAATCCCATCTCTTCTCTTATAATGAGTAAAGTTGAATAAACAAACATTCACAACCATAGTTTTACTAGTTCCCTCATTAAACAATAATCTGTTTGACAACAGGGACAATACTCGGTTTAGCTTCATATTACGGAGCACAATTCAACAGTCAAGTCCCTTCTTTCTAAACCTTCTGTGTACAAAGGTTTATTTCTGCCAAAAGTCAGAATTAATGGTTGTAATCTAACCACTATCACTAGCGATACTATTTCCTATTTGGGATTTCTGAGCATTGCTACCCATTAAGAGAAATCTTTTTCCATCACTTATTTTGCTCCTTTTCTGAAGCTTTAATAATGCATGTTTTTTCTACATTTCATTTCTCATTAAAAGCAGAAATTAATATAATACTTTTTGTCATCCTTTCTCGTCATTATTTGCATTCCCCGGAAAACAGACTTTGGCTGATCTCACTAGAAGGATTTTCTTAATTTAATTGACCTTAAATGCTTTAATAATCGCATAGTTGTGGTGTGGACATTATTTCACCAAAATATGTAGCGGCATTAATAAAATCAGATTTATATTTTGGGTGCCATTTGTTAATTCTGATTTTTTTTTTTTGGCTGATCCATTACTTGCTGTATTTAGCCTTTAACATTGGGTAAATAAATGTCCTTTGGAATTACTATTTCAAGATTTCTGAGTCAAACAGATTTGTAAGAACATATTTGGGCAACAGAACCAGTCATCCCCCCCCCCCCAAGAATACTTATAATTATTAAATATGCAATAGAATATTTTGTCCTTCCTTCTTTATGCACTAATATACCCAACTGCATATTTTAACGGTAATTCTACAAGTCACCAGAACCATCTATTGTGAATGTGCTTCCAGTTGTGCAATAATGAATTCCATATCCCTGAAGTAACTCTGGATGGGTCAGACATACTTAGCTTCAGAATAGATCAAACATACTTAGCTTCAGAAAGGTCATTCAGCGCCTGTGAGTACAAGAATGTTGTATGAAGCTACCTGCATACTTAATCACATCATTGGCCCATCTTACCCCATTCTTGGGAAGTTTCAACATACAGTTTAGTGTGACTTGAATAAATTGAAACAAGCTTCAGGCTTGAATGCTTCCATACAAATGTGAAGAAAAGTTTGGAACATTTTACTTCCTTCCTATATATTTGAAGTTTGTTCTATTTTCTGAGCTAACAAATGACAACTACCCGTAAGTATAGTTGATGGACATGAAAAATCTGTGTTTAATGTAAATGAGAGGCAAAACATTTTGAAGTCTTCTTTATAGCCATGCTGAAAAGCAGAAAGTCCACGTTCCAGACTGGTAGCTTAGCATGATTTAAAGATGGGATGGTTGCTATGTCACTTCCTCTCAAAGTATTTATTTATTTATTTACATCCCACCTTTATTATTTTTACAAATAACTCAAAGCGGTAAAGATACCCAATACACTTTCCTCTTCTTTTCCTCAACAACAACAACCCTCTGAGGTGGATTGAACTGAGATAGAGTGACTGGCCCAAAGCTGGCTTACTTGGCTAAGGTGGACTTGAATTCACTGTCTCCAGCTTTCTAGTCTGATGCCTTAACCACTCGACCATTCATTTCCTTAGACATTTTCTGAACCTGGGTCATTTTCCAGCTGAAGCCTTTTCCTCAGAAACAGCAGAGATCAATATCACAGAGATTCAGAATCCACCTTCTATCTCTCTCTAGGACTATCAAAAGTCTCATTTTGCATTCTCCATTGAGACAAATATAGATGAATTCTAATTTTATACGTTTTGCAAGTCAATCTCCAAAAATGAATAACATTCCTCATATCCATTTGCAACTCTCCTCTCCCTTTTATCTGATTTGATCTTAACCTTTGATCTGAGTTATATCTTTCTAAACTGTCCTTTTGCTAACTCACTGTGCTATATTTTTTGCAGGACCTTTATTCATGGAGCACCCTACTGAATAGATGAGAAAATGTCAGAACTATGGATTACGGTCTTACAGTTGGGTAGTGTCAATACTGCAGTCAATAGGAAGTTAGAGGTACGGGAAAACCAAGCAGCTAGAATTATGGCATTAAGGCTTCCTAAGATCAAGATAAAGCACATTCACAATGGATGTTTTTAGTAACTAAGAGGAAGTTGGCTTGCTTGGTGATAGCTGCCCCCCTTCCCTGAACTAGCCTTCTACTACCTGTCACATTCCTATGTTAGGACTATAACTCTCAGACATTTGGTATTATGAGAAATAAAGTTTTGATCTGTATGGAGGGAACCAGATTAGAAAAAAAAACAGACTTAACAATTAAATAGTGGTTATTTCTCCTCCTCCCTAAATAATTACCTTGATCACCATCATGGCATTATAAAAGATAAAGATAGTGGTGAGATTCAAATATGTGAACAACCAGTTCTCTGTGTGGATGCTGCTTCCGGAAGTCCATTCTGGGCCTGGGCAACAAAAAATTAGCTACTGGTTCTGCTGAACTAATGAGAACTGGCTGAATCCCACCACTGGATAAAGACCAAGTCCATAGAATACCCTCCACAAAAAGACTCAACCACATAACCAGACATTATCTTAAGGATAGAATATACACGGGATTAATAGGACATTGGCTGTTGTTAACCCCTATGCAGTCCCAGTAACAATTATTAATAACACGAATTAAAGAATAATGATAAATGGCAAATTAAGGCTTACAAGACCAGTTACAATTTGACTGCTGGCCTGTATCATACTTGGTCTACATCCTGTTGAAAGAGAGAATGTTTTGAGATAATGAGGACAGAAAGCAGAATTATTTGGGAAATTGCTTAGAGGAAGAAAAACCTTTGTTTTGGAAAACAAAGGATTTTTTGAGAATCCAGACCATACGTTTGGTTATCAAAGAGCCTCATGTGTACAATTTATGCAGTAGGCAAGTTGTAAGTTCTTGTTTCTTCAATATGGGCTGCTTCTAACCAATAACGTATTCTGCTTTCATTGTAACTAAGCTATTTATATATATATATAGAGAGAGAGAGATGCATCTCAAATCCCACAATAATTGATAGGTTGTTGGAAACTGCTCTGAAAAAGTGAAATCAGGCTTCTCTGATTTATGCATTTTGTTTGTCTATTATTTCTCAACTTGTTTCTCAGCATGGATCAAAGGAAATATGATGAGAAAGGGCAAAAAGAAGGAGGAGGAGGAGGAGGAGGAGGAGGAGGAAAGGAAGCTAATAATATGGAGGTAGCCTCTAAACATTTCTTGAAATTACAAACATACGAAATTGTTTTAATACTGAGTTAGAACTTTGGTTGCTCAATACTGTCTACATTAGTTTTTACCAGCCTGGTATTCTTAATAAGTATATTAAGAATGCTTTTACTTTGAAAATAGTTGAAAGACTTTGCTTGAATTGCATATTGCTCCCTCCTCAAGCAAGCTTGCTCATTCATGTTTGATCCTTTGTTGAGGATTGGGACTGGCAGTGTTCTAATAATAATAATAATAATAATAATAATAATAATAATAATAATAATAATAATAATGATAAAGTTGGAAGGGACCTTGGAGGTCATCTAG